ACCACAAGGAAATAGTTGACCTTTTTATATTATTAGAAAAATGACAAAACTACAAAATGGTGAAAAGGCAAGAGTCATTATAGGTTACAATTCTTTTCGATTCTATATTAATATACCCAAATGACAAAAGGGTCTGATTTTCAATCTTTTATTTCATTAATATTAAACAATTGATCAATGGATTTTATTGGATTTTATGTGACAATTGGTTATTTCCGGTCCATTATTTCTTTATTTTATAGTTTTTTTTCTTTGTTCAATATCTCTATTATAATTTTTGTCAATTTCCTTCTTGATATATTAGTATTAGTAAATAAATATAATCCGGTATTAGTATTTACTATTTGAAAATCTTTGCTTTTTTGGCTTCTTATTCGTCACACCTTAATTATCACGTATGTCACACGATAAGATCTTGTGTAATTTTCAAACCACTTTTTCAAACCGAATCAAACCAAACCAAGCTGCCCCAAGCATAGTGGAAGTTTGTTGTTACACGAAACATTATACAGAACTCATTGCTTCTGAAACTTCGCCAGTATATAGTTGTTACCTCTCTAAATTGGAGATCAAGTTCAGATCCAATTCAAATCCAGTTTATCACTTACTTTTTATTGCCAGAATGTTTGCTGTGTATTGTAAAGCTACATTGCACAATATAAAAATTAGTGTAACATTTCAAATTTCCACTATGCTGCTGCCCCATCCCTAACAAGTAACCTAGTCCCGCAACTTGCTGCGCCTCGTGGCCAATTTTGGGAAAAATATCAAATCTCAGAATTGTAAGTTATGCTCAAAAATGCAATAAAATTTTTGTACCGCATGACCTTCAATGGTGATACAAATTAAAAAAATTTTCATTTAAATATTTATATGGCTCATGTCACCTATAATCATCAAATTGATGCACCATGTGCTGAAATTTCAAAAAAATTTGTTTTCCCAATTTTTTCAGATTTGATAAAAACATGGTTTTTTGTAAAGGGTAATATTATATACAGAAAGGTTCTTTTTTGTGAAATATACAGAACCTATGTGACAAATAAGGATTAATTCTTAGAGTTGGTAAACACTGTGTAGTTCCTGCTACCCAGCCCACAAATTTAATCATCACGTCTGTGATAAATGTCACATTGGTTTTACAAAAATTTTGAGCTACAATTTAGTTTCCTTTTTTATAGAATGAATTGCTATTTTTGGTAGGGTTCTGTATATTCCATAAAAAGAACCTTTCTGTATATAATATTTTCCTTTTGTAAAAATCACAAGATCAGTTAAAAAATTTTTTTTTTAAAAAACCAATTAAACTAATTCCCAAACTTAAAAACTGTAAAATGCCTTACCCATCCAAATGCAAAGTCAATTAAAGGATGCAAGAACACAAATTGGAAAAAAGTGTATGTTCTAGAATTAAATTACATAAATATCTTGTAAATAAAATTTTAATATCATTTTATGTTTTTGAAAGGTGATGATGAATTATTGTTCAATGATGTTATTGTAGATGTTGATGATGAATTGTATAGTATTATGAGAAATGAAAATAATGAAAACAATGAAGAAAGTGATTATTATATAAGTGATTATGATTTTAACTGACAATTCAGGTAGTGAGGATGAATGGAGCAATATAGATTTGACAAACCACCTTGTGAAATCATTTGAAATTACAGAAGAAACAATTGCTAAACAAAATCTAAATTCATTTGAGGTTCTTAAAGAAGCTTCTATAAAACCAAGTGCATTTTTATTGCCCAACAAAAGATCATTAATTTATTCTGGGATGCTAAATCAACTTTACAAAATAAAAGGCATGCCTTGCTGCAACTGGATCTAAAAAAATTACATCAATTTTTCCATCACAAGCATCAAGAATTATTTCATCATCATCATCAAATAACACCAATGATATACCTTCTTCTTCATTAAATGAACCTGATATCATGCCTGTCTTTGATGTGGTAAGTACTGCCAATGATATTAATAATGAATATTCTTTACATCAGGAAAATGAGTACAAATATTATGTGTATATAATACGCAATTGCAGGGATTAAGCATATAATATATGTACAATTTGCATACATAAAAAAATATGCGATTTGTATGCATATTATATGCTTAATCCCTGCAATTGTGTATTATATACGCATAATATTTGTACCCATTTTCCTGATGTACCAACATTAGAACATAGATAAAAAATAAAAAAGAATTGGACCCAAGGTTGCAGTATACTGCACAGTATTTAAGACTTGTCAATTCAGGTTACAAAAAAATGGATGCCAGCAATATTATTGCACAATCCTTAAGGGTAGAGTGTAGTCATGTGATTTTTCATAACAACTGAAAGGATAAATTTTTTACAGTGATGATCATTTTCTTGTGCCACACATTAAAATAAATTATAATAAAATAATTCTAAAACGATCAAGCTTTTAATAAATAATATAAATAATTCCATCCTTTTGATTTAGCTTCAACAACCCTGAGACCATAAATAATCAAGCTATATACAAGTTAAGGGTAGAGTGTATGTAACACGAAATTTACTATGATACAGTAGATAATTTTTTGACTGCGAATCATTAAAAATTATTATTATATACAGTAATATATAGAAAAAATCATTTTTATTTTATTTGTAAAAGAATGATGATAATTAATATTAAATATTTAATACAACATTGTCCTTTTCTTCTATGACATCCTTTAGCAAACAAAAAAATAAAAATAAAGCTACAGTTCATTCTCTCTATAACAAACACTAAGTAAAATCTCTATAATGAACTTCCCTTTTAATTAATTTCTCTCTCTATAACAAACATCTTAGTAAACACACCTTATAACAAACTGTATATTTTCTTATTTATAAATAAATTATGATGTCAGTTAATTATATTACAAAATAATGTATTAATTATATTAATTATATTACAAATAATGTATTGTGAGATTGTAAACCGTGGACCAACCAATTGACCAATTAGAACGAACTTACTACGGAAGTCATGTGATGCACTAAATATTACATGTAGATCATTACATCATTTCTATTTTTAACTTATTTTATGACAGAATTATTTATTTCGAATTATTAATCAGATTATTTGTAATAATGACTCATAGGATTAGTAATTATGAGTCAGAGAATTAGTAATTAGCAATTAGTAAGCTAGTAATACAGAAAGTAGGATTAATAAGCATATTTTATTGGACAAAGCATTGTAAAGGTCATGTTATTTGTGATACCTCAAGAAGTATAAAAGAGCTTGGTTTTAGACCAAGTGAGAATCATCATGTTCATGATACAATAATAATAATTGAATAAATAAATTCCCCCCATTGTTAATAATTAAATAAACACATTTTACCTTATTATGAATTTTTGCATAGTTAATAGGAAAAGCTATTGTGAATTGTTCCATGGTCCTCTCTGATGATTAGTGGCTGGCCACTAATCATTAGTTAGGAACCCCGATTTGATTGTTCTATGCTGCTTGTAGGGACGCCTCAAGTGGTGTAGTTGTAAATATTTCTTGTATATATTCTTTTTATTTTATTTATCATTTTTAGGCCAGCAGTACTTCATATTAGTACTGTAGAGAGAGAATTGTGCAATAGAATATTTTGGGAAGGCTCCTAGCTGTGTGCGAAGATGGAGGCCTGGGAATTTGAGAACCCTTAGCTGTGTGCGAAGATAGGGAGATTTATATATTGGACTTTTTATTTATTTTATCTTATATATTTTATTGGACACAACCCGAGCTGTAATTGAATTTACACACTCGCAATACTAATATTATATTATTATAATTACAAGATGTCAAGGCAGCATACCATTTAAAAAGAAAGATTTTGGTATGCGATGTTTGATTATCAGAAATTTTACAAGTGTTGAAGCACACACGCTACCTTGAACACATTTACAGTCATTCTCACACATTCCTCATGTACACAAGGCTAATCTGACCTGGTGGATCAATGATACAATGATGCTACTGAATTCCAGGGGTAATATGTGGCTCTGGAGTTTACCAAGACTGTATCAATCATCAATGATGCTTTTACTAATCTTCCCTTACAGCACCAGACCAGAGATGGCTGCTGGCATGCTGGCTGAAAAGTTGCCTGCAACGATCCTATGGTTGGCTCAGTCCAAATACCTCCTACAGCTGCACCACATACTCAAATTTCAAATAAATTTTTTAAAAAAGGGTTACACATGATTTATTTTCCTTACTGCCAAATTTAGATATGATAGTCGAGTATTAGGCTAAATTTAGAATGATGATCAAAAACTAGTCTAAATTTAGCAATGATCATAGTGCTCAAATTTCTCATGAGCATAGTAAAATACATGTTTTAAAAAAGAATAGAACTCTACAATAAATAATTTTTTGGAGAAAATCTCTTCATTACATTAAAAGTAGAAACCTATTTACCAACTAATGAGGCTATTTTTTTAAAAGGTAGGGCAGAAAATGACTTCTATACTTTTAAAGTTTGCCCAAAATTTAGGAGGTCTTTAGACCGAGCCAACTATATATAGGAGATATAGAATTTTTTGATCTTATTTGATATAAATTATTGTGTAACAACATTCGCATTGAATAGACAGAATTATAATAATAGTATTTAATACTTAGTCATAAACAATTGCCTAAGCAATTTATTTTGCCATAGATTTGAAGTTGATTAAGCTTTGATGTATATAGTCTCAATTTCATGAATTATATAAAATTTATTTTGAAATAAGTTTTATTAAGGAAGCTTATATTTCCAGGAAATTAGTAGATTAATGCAACGAGATCTACTATTAGTAAGGGTGGAGGAAATCTTTTTTTTTTATTGGAAATATTTGTTATTATGAATATTATTAAACATACAGTATATATTTTTATAATATATATTTTTTAAATGATCTGTTTTGTAAAACTCTTAACAGGTAGAGTAAGCTGTCACTATAGAGGACATGTTTATTGGATTATTAATATACATTCATGGAATTACTCTGCCAAGATAATGATCATTTAGCATATGTTTATTTTTACTTATTTATTGATTTTTTAGAGATTTTTTTGTGAATTTCCAAAAAAATTAAAAAAAAAGAATTCAATTATTTGAAGGGCCTTTTTAATGTTAGGCGAACATGTTATTTGGTATGTTATTCCACACATGTATTATTAAGTTTGCCAGGTAATGGTCATTTGGCATGTTTATTTTTACTTGATGATGATTTTTTTTAAAAAAAAATTTCCAATTAATTAAAGAACCCTTTTAATGTTAGGTAAAATTTTTTGTAAAATTTTTTCATTCATTTTTAATGCAATAGCACTTCAGCTGCTTGCTTTTTATGATACTAATTAAACCTGGATATCCATGACTTAATTTGTTGAAATATTATTGAATTCAATTTCATTATTTTCAGTATATGATTAAAGATTTCTTAACATATTTTTAGCTGATATTTTTGATTTTTTCTACATTACCAGTTAAAAACATTTTCTTTGATTTTTCAACCACTTCTAAATTAATTCTTTTGCCACCACCTTTTTTCCCAAATATTTGTTTGCTTTTCAAAGCAAATCCAGATTTAATATGCAATAAGGAAATTTAGTGATTCAGCAGAAATTTACAATTATTATGGTGAACTGTTGGTTGAAAGCGGTGATATTTTTCATATTAATATCATTATCATCCAATAGCATTAAGTTATATAATAAATCATAACTGCTATGTTGGTCTAGCCTTTCTTTGATAACCAATTTATTCTCAGGTGAACCCAAATTCTTATCTTTAAGGATGAATCTTACTTCTGAAGTTTTCAATTTCTGGATGGATGGGTTAATTTGTGTATAGTCATTTTCCATTCTGATTGAGGTATTGTTTGGGTCACTGATTATAGCATTTGGTTGACTTATATTATTGTTTTTGAGAAGTTTTTTTATATCAAATATTGAATAAATTTTTGGTGATCCATAATTAGGTATTTCATAGGCTTTTATAATTCCTTCTTCTACATCAGTTGGCCACATAAAAGTAAAATAATTGGAAATTCCTGTAATGGTCCCAACTGATATTTTTTTTACTATGATCTGGAGTTAATTTTCCAACTGAAGTGAAGTACCTGCAAGAGATTCATTAGAAATTACAATATCTTCTCCACTAAAAATGCTATGGCCTAATTTTGGTTTATCTAATAAATCCATGAGATAGTTGTGCATGGTGAGAATATACAATGGACCTGGTTCCAAAAATTTCTATTTTGTTATATTCAAATTATACCATTTTTTCCAATAACCAGCAATCACCATTGATTCTGAATTATGGTAATGTCCACCATTATCAAAAAATATTTTAATTGAATTTAATGTTTGCATCTGGCTTTGTTAGTCGTTCTAGAACAACATCAAATGCTAATGCAGTAAACCAAGCATCTTGTTTAACATCATCAGACCAATGGTCAAATGCTCTTTCATAATTATTTTTTGATTTGGTAATTACTAGAATTGTATGAAGAGTCCAACCTTCTTTTCCATAAAAATTATTTTTTTGTTCCACAACGACTTATAGGATTAACCTTCATTTTGTAGTCATAAATTAACACTGCATCAACATGTCTTAATTCATGTAATTCAGCATTAAATTGTGAATTTAAATATATCCCATGCAATTGATGGGATAAAAGTTTATTCTGATCAGGGCTGGTAGTGTAAAGGAGTTAAAAACCTAATTTAGTAATCATCTTGACTAAACTTGACTAAACTTGACTTAAAATATGACTAAATAGTTTAGTCAGTTTAGCCAAGTGCTCATTTGAGTTATGCAGCCAGCCCTGATTCTGGTATTCCTCTAATATTTCTATGTTAATTATAGAAGTTTTCTTAATTTCATTTAAAACTGTAAATAAAGACATGCAATTATTGCATAAAGAATTATGCTCTTCTGTGCATTCTCCAAAAGCATAAAGAAGACAATGATTTAAGCAAGAATCATGTTCAAGAAGCCCATTATTTAAAACCATTATTTCACCATCTAATTTGCTTTTTAAATGTCATCCAAGTAATTCTATTTTATTAATCAAATTATATTTTTTTCTGTTTCATATAACTGTGATTCAATCAATAAATTAAAAACCTGATACTCACAAGTTATGCACAAACCATCCAAATCCTTTCTATATTTAAATTGACAATCTAATCAACACATGAAACTTGTTCTTTTCAAACCATTGTATTTTTCCCACTTTTCTTTATTTTTATCATATGGTTGGCTCGGTCTAAAGACCTCCTATTGCTGCGCCATACGGCCAAATTTCAAAATAGCAATTTTGTAGTTCGTTCAAAAATGGAATAAAATTTTTCAAAAAATAGGACTTCACGTGATTTTAATTTTCTTACTGCCAAATTTAGATACAATAGTCAAGAGCTAGTCTAAATTTGGTAATTTTTTCTAAATTTAGAAATGATCATAGTAGACAAATTCCTCACGAGCATAGTAAAGTACATGTTTTAAAAAAGAATAGAACTCTCCAACAAATAATTTTTTAAAAATAAAGACATATTCTATCAACTAATAGAGCTATTTTTTTAAAAGGTAGGACAGAAAGTGACTTCTATACTTTTAAAATTTGCCCAAAATTTAGGAGGTCATTAGACCAAGCCAACTATATAGAAAAGTTTCTAAATCTCTCAATTGTTCATCAGATAACTTTTTTCTTATCATTTACATATGATCTTCTAAAATTGGTCCTCCACTTCCATACAATTGTGCAGCATTAATTAAATTATTGCTGACTATAAGTTTTTCATTTAATTATGAAAATTTTTCAGCAATTATGACAAAATTCTTCATTGACCATCATTGCCTTTTATATTTGAACACATTGCATCTTTAAAACATTTCCAAAAAATTTTTACATCTGAATCAGAATCCAATTCTTGTTGTAAAATAATTTAGGTTTGTCTCAGTAAAAAGATCCAATGTTTCTAAATCTGCTGCAGTATCTCCAGCTTTTGTCCAATATTCATTATTTTTGTAAATTTTATTTGTTTGCAACCAGATGCATTCAATAATTGTCTCCAAGCTGGTTTTTTCTTAAACCGAAATTGGCTGAGCCTTGGCATTTTGAAAATTCCGAATTTTGTTATACATTTAAGAAATTGAGACTAAGTAAATTTCGTGTAACAACTTTTTTTCATAGAATATTTTCTACAACATACATTTGATTTATTGATTTATTTATTTCCTTTTTTTTATTAATAAATAAAAGTTCTTTACAACAAAAAAGTTTAACGAACAAAAGAAAATCATTAACAAATTTGGTCGTGAGATTCAAAATATCGTAACACGAAAATTATTGTTGCATAACTTTCAAAATTAAAAAATCTATGAAAAGAAAATTCGAGACAAACTTTTTTTTAGATTAAAGCTAAATTGAATGGTGGTAGGTTTCAACTTTGAGTATAGATGATCCGCACTGTAATAGTAAACGTTATTATTATTAAATGTGTATCTTTTCCTTTTTTAGTAAGATTAACTATGACATTGTGATATCGAATAATATTCATGTTATTTGAATATCAGTCACATGAATGATATTTGGACAATGTCCGAATAATTCCGAATGAATACAAACATTACTAATGACCTCCTGTTGCTGCGCCATACATTCAAATTTCAAAAAATTGCGATTTCATAATTCGTTCAAAAATGCAATAAAACTTTTTTTGGTTTCACGTGATTTTGGTTAAAAAATTATATTCCTATTGCCAAATTTAGATATAAATGTCGAGTATTAGTCAAAATTTCGTGATGATGACCAAAAACTAGTATAAATTTAACAATGATCCTAGTGCTCAAATTTCTCATGAGCACATGTTTTAAAAAAGAATAGAACTCTACAACAAAGAATTTTTTTGAGAAAATCTTTTTATTACATTAAAACTAAATACATATTCTATCAATTTATAAAGCTATTTTTTTAAAAGATAGGACAGAAAATGACTTCTATACTTTTAAAGTTTGCCCAAAATTTAGGTCTTTAGACCGAGCCAACTATATAAGTTTGAGAAAATAAAACATGTTCACAATTAGACCTTTCTAAGAATGTAATGTGATAACCATCTGAGGGCTCTGATTTATCATATGAAGCATTTACAACAAACATTTTAAACTTTCCTTCATTGATAATAAATGGAAAAAATGTGATCAGATATTTTTTTAACTGTAAATCATTACCCATTCCAAAAAAAATCAGATCCATTCAATTTCTATATACAAAGTTGTGAGAATGATCTGATATTTTTTATATGGATTATTAACTACTATTGACATTTCATTAATTTATCCCCGATAACAATTATATTCAGGCTTATTATTTTTCCTTTGATTAACTAATGTACAAAAAATCAGAGCTTTGGGACAATGAAGTATTTTTAAATGCAATCTAATAGGATAAAATTTTTTTATATATGTATTTGGGTCTAATTTGCTTTCCCACCAGAATTTTGCAAATGGACCATAATTCAAAGTACTCATAATAGATCCAGATTCAATAAAATTTGAATTAAATTCAATTGACATTTTAAAATGATGATTTGTTTAACTTTGCACAGAACAGAATTTTTTTTAAAATATTTATTGTGTAACATGATCCCCCTTTTTTTATCGATCAATATTTATTTATTACATCCGAAATTTGCCACCGAAAATATATCGTTTAATGCTAAATAAAAAAAAAAATATTTAGGTCTGTCGTATTTTTTATTAATATTATTAATATTATTAATGGAAAAGAGATATTTTATTTTTGGTGACCAGTCGCATTTATTATTATGAAAAAATTTTTGCCGTATTTAATTTATTATTAATATTATTAATATAAAAAAAAATTTTTTTTGGTGACCTGCCGTATTTTATTATTAATTCGAAAAAAAATCATGTTTTTTTATTGTAAATTTTTTTATCATTTGTTTCGATTCAGAGGAAATTATCTTGCATTATATCTTTTTTCCAAAAGAAAAAACCGTTTTTTTTAAATTGTAAAAACGTTATTTCCTTATTGAAAAAAATCTGGTGATTTTTATAAATTCAATTTAAATAATAAAGTTCGTACGATGACTTTCTCTCTATTACTATAATAATAATGATTTAAATATCTTACTCTAAGATTTAATTAAATTTCTGTATAATAATAATGGGTTCGTATCATGTATCACATACCTAAAAATTTTTAAAAAAAAATTACGGCAAACTACGCGATTAATTGTGTAACAGGTATGTAGAATATTCTTTTTGTCGATCTTTTAATATAAAATTTCCCCCCGTATTTTTATAATAAATTGATCATTCATAGACGGATCATTATCAATTAATTTATCTACGTTACATCTAAATAGGCAACTCTATATTAACTTTAATTTGATATAACAATTGTTTGTAAAAATTACCGAAACTGAGTATTATTAATGATAGTGATAATTATTACCGAAACTGAGTATTATTAATGATAATGATAATATTGTCATTATAGATTACTTTTTTACATATCACTGTATATACCAGGGTTATTACACGTGGAGCATGAAATATTAGAAAAACCAGGTGGTTGCTGAATTTAAAATATTAACACGTAAATGACATCATTTAACGACCGTTATCGACTTTTAGCCATTGACGCAATTGTTTCATGTTTTATTACCCAATGACTGGTTTTTGTATGTCTGACTATGAAAATTCGAAAATTTTCAGATGAAGATATCGGAATGTCCAGACATGAAGTTTTGTAATGCTTAGATTGCAAAGATACACAATAACGTGTCTTAGGATGTCTCATTTCATAAGATATGTCGAATTCTCTCTCACATAGATTATTCTGTAGGATTCGATCTAACCAATTTTTGAATCACATGTCACATTATGGAAAATTATTTTTCCAATTACTGTTTAAGTTAAATTCAATTTTTAGCGTCATCTTTATCTTTTAGATTATTATTTGATTATCCCCTATTCAAGAAAATCGCAATAACCAAAATTTTTTATTAAATAATTTCGCAAGAAACTTAAAAACAACATATCAATATTCAATCATTTTCTTTCTTTATGAATGTTTGTTTTTACTCTCATTTTAATAAATTAATTTCCTTTTTCCCAATGATTAGTTGTTTCTTAAAAAAACAACTATTCTAAACATCGAAAGTTTTAAATATTCGTGCAATCAATAAAAAATAAATAATATATTTTATGCAACACATGGATCCTGAATTATCATTATATATAGATAAAGCACAACTTAGAGATGATGAAACTCGCCTCATATTCAATCCTCCTTGCAAAATTTACTCACAGATCACCGAATTTATTTCAGCTAATCCCAACAATGTTGATTCCATAGGTATCCCAAAATCGCAAAACTGTTTTTTTTTATACCGCAAAAATTACAATGCAAAACATAAATCTCATAGGAGCAAAAAGGATTGGAAAATTCTTTCAAAGGAAGCTGGTAATGCCTGGCATAATGAATCTAACGAAGTAAAAAGTTATTTTAAAGTATTAGCAAAACTAGCTTTTCAAAAAAATAAACTAAGTTATGAAAACCTACTACTAAGAAATTGTATTTTTATTGTCCAACAACCAGGGCTACAACATAAAAAAATAGATAACAATGGTTCTGCAGTTTCATCATCACCCGATCCATATTTTTCTTCTTTATCTTCTACTTGTTATTACTCAAAATATAATGCTAGTTCACAACCAAAACTACAACAAAAACAAACAGATAATAACGATCATGAACCTTCATCATCTTTACTTTATCCATCTTCCACTTTTTCTTGCACGAGTAATAATACAAGCTTGCCTCATTTTATGACTCAACAACCAAATAATAACGATTATCCAACAACAACATCATCACCATTTCATCCACATTCCAGTTTTTCTTACACAAGTGATGATACAAGCTCGCCTCGCTTTATGACTCGACAACCAAAACTACAACAAAAACAAAAAGATAAAAATAATACCGATTGTGCAGTTTCACTACCATCATCTCATCCACACTCCAATTTTCCTTACACAAGTGATGATACGACCTTGCTTCATTTGGCAGCTCAACAACCAGAAGCACAACAAAAACTAAAAAATAATCTTCATAATAACAATTGTGCAGTTTCTTCACCATCTCATCCACATTCTACTTTTTCTTGCGCAAGTGACAATACAAACTCGCCTCATTTTGTAGCTCAAGAACCAAAAATGCAACAAAAACAAAAAAAAGATTTTTGTGATGATTGTGCAGTTCCATCATCATCACTTCATCTGCATTCTACTTTTTCTTGCGCAAGTGATAATACAAGCTTGTCTCATTTTATGGCTCAACAACTAGAACTGAAACAAAACCAAAATGAGAATCTTCATAATAACGATCGTGCAGTCTTATTATCACCTCATACATATTCTACCTTTTCTTACAAAGATGATAGTATAGTCTCGCTTCATTTTGTGACTCAAAAATCAGAAATAGAAGAAAATCAAAAAGATAAGAGAAATAATAACGATTATGTAGTTTCACCGTCGCCTTATCCACATTCTAGTTCGTTCGATTTTAATACTAATGCTGATTGGAATACAATTATTGACTACTTCCGATTTTAATATTAAGGAAAACATGAAATATAAATGTATGAAATATGAAACAAATGTAATAGATAAGATAGCTTGTTGTAATGACAATATTGCTTTAATAGCATTTTTAAAGAGCAAATTTTATGAATATACCATTTCAATAATTTTATCTGTTTAATCGAATTACTTGATTAAAAGGTAAAGTAATTAAGTTTGTTTTTTTAATTTTCAAACAAATTTACTGTTGTTAAACAAAACAACTGTTCCAAAAAACATATTTTATTTTACTTTCTTTCATGTAACAGTTATTTAATTTTAGTTAAGATGTTAAATAAAAAAAAATTCGCAATAAAGCCAAAAGTCCACCTAGTTAAGATGTTACAATTCTAGTTAGGTGTCTAAATTGTTTTAGATATGCCTTATGTCAAAATATTTAGATGAAATGTCTATTACTAAATAATATAAATACAACATAGTGGAAATTCTATTTACGTCACAATTTGATGATTGTTTAAAGTAGAGATCGGCACCGTTAACGTTAACCAGTTAACAGTCACAGGACATGTCACGCAGATCAATAGGGAGTTGTAAAACATAGTAAAATTTTGATGATCTGCATCATAGTAAAATTTTACAATCAAGTGACTTCTAATCCCCATTTAATACCCTTGCTGTGTAGCAGCCACCGCCAAATTTGATATATAACTTCTTTATCATATGTATCTGCTTTAAGAAAATTTTTAAAGCAGGTTGTTAATAAAACCGAAAATAATCTGACTCTCAAAGTCAAATTTTGCCTTTATATTCATATATGTAAAATTTTGTTTGACGCGTCCAATCGCAAGTATAAGTAGAAGTAAATGTCCAAATATTACATTATGATGAATATTTGTAGATTTTTGATCACTTAGGTATGTCTTTTATAGTAAAATCATTTATTTTAAAAGTAATATAATAAATAAATAGACATTAAAGTTTTTCTTTACCTACAGTATATACATAAATAATAATTATAATAGTAAACAAGCAACAATAATGATTAAATTAAAAGGTGTTTTATCTCCGACTTTATTCATTTAATTATTTGTCATAGTGATGTCATTAAATATAAGTTAAAATAAAAGAAATTTATATACAAATAACTATTGAATAATTGCAAAACGTTCATTTTTGTAAAACTTGCTTCGCAAGCTTCATAGATCTTGTCCTTAATGCTTACTTCAATCACTCTTATACAAACTATTGATGAAACACTTGTTAGTATATTCATAGATCTTGCCATTAACGCTTACTTCAATCACTCCTATACAGACTATTGAATAATCAATAAAACGTTCGTTAGAATATTTTGTTCATAGATCTTGTCCTTAAATCTTACTTCGATTACTCCTACACAAATTGATAAAACGTTCGTTAGAATATTTTGCTCATAGATCTTATATAAACTATTGAATAATTAATAAACGCTTGTTATTACATTTTGTTCATAGATCTTGTCCTTGATGCTTACTTCAATCACTCCTATACAAACTATTGAATAATTAATAAAACGTTTGTTATTATATTTTGTTAATAGATCTTGTCCTTAATGCTTACTTCGATCACTCCTACACAAACCATTAAATAATTAATAAAACGTTTGTTATTATATTTTGTTAATAGATCTTGTCCTTAATGCTTACTTTGATCATTCCTACACAAACTGGATCTTAATCTTTATTATCACCCTCAAAAAACGATGATTCGTTATCGTTGTTTGCTACTATTATTATTGTATCTCGTGTATTTTAACGTGCATTTAAACTTGATTATATTTACAATCAATAATTAATTGATATTTTTAATTATTTTATCTAGTTATTTAATGGAACTTTTGATTTGACAACAAGAACTTCAGGAGTGAAATCTTTAAAGGTTAAATTAGAAGAATTTTTTGGTAATTGGGTATTTGAATGGGATTTTGAGAAGACTGAATTAACCAAAATTGTCGATGGTAATTATAATAATATTGATATTATGTTAGTGGTAAACATGCTTGTAATAATATGATATAAATATATTTATAATATATTATTATATTATTATTATAATCACATGCACACACTCGCACATTTATATATATTATAGGTATTCTTTATCTTCCACTTTCTAGGCCAGCATATTTGGAAATAACATCATTAATCGAACAAATTCACTCGGAATATGAAATAATAGAAGACGCTGTAGTGTTATGGAAAAACAAATTGATATACAATGGAAGCATTCCTGAAAATCAACTAAAAGGAATTTGGAAACATTTGGATACTTTGATTTCTGAAAGAAATTTGTTCGAAAGAGAACTTGAAAGAAAAAAGAATACCAAAGACAGTGATAAAGTAATGACTATTTCAAAAATTTGTGAAATTATTTATTTATATATTTGTATATTTACATTTATTTATTTATTTGTTTGTTTGTTTATTATTTAGTTTTCTTCAACAATTAAAGGATTTACAAAGTTGATTTCTGGAGCTAATCCTTTTTCTCGTTTTTCGCCAAATTCTTTATCATTTCCATCATTATCATCATCATCATCGACAACAACGTCATCCGATAATCAGCAAAGTCATTTCCTTTCCTTTGAATCGTCACTTAATCCTTTTTCTTTTTCATCATCTACACAACAGCCGCAGCAGCAATCTTCTTCTTCAGAGCCTCCCCTTGATTCTTCTTCTTTACCATCCGAAATAAATTTATCAAAATTCTTGATAGGACCAACAGATTTAGATGGATCTAATAGAGATATTAAACCTTTGACAATTTATTTAATAAAAAAATTAGACGATAAAGAAATTGATGATGACGAATATAATGATGTTGTTGACAATGTTGAAAAATATTTTTTAATTGCATATAAGGTACCCTATTATTTATTCGCTGGAAGGTAAATTATTATTTTTCAAAAAAAAAAAAAAAATCTAAATTAACAAATTTATTAATAACATAGCAAGATTTTCTTACGTTTGCATTCTTAATACCGGCCAAATCGGTGGAAGGAATTACAAAAGTATACGATATGAAATTTTATATATCTCTAGATGAATGTTTATCTATTAGATCTGAATCAATAATTAATGCAGTAAATGAGGATTATGAAAAATCAAGAAAATTTGGGTAAATAAATATTTATTCATATTATTATTATTATAAATATAATAAATATAAACATTCTATAAACATCATATGCAAAGAAATAAAGTGGATATAGATAGAGAATATCGATATTTATATTTTGATAAAATGACTTTGGCTATAAAGACTTCATTACATTCATTGTCATTAACACCACCAACCATATCATCAACTTCATCATCATCATCTTCATCTAATGGAAATGTGTTCAGAGGATTAACTATTACAAACGAGATGGCTCATGCATTATGTGATATACATGAAGATCTTGAAAAGTTGGTGTTATTATACACATTACATTTGCATTTATATATATATATATATTTACTTTTTCTTTTTTTTTTGTTAATTATTATAATATTAGACATCAACAATTGACAGAAGTCTATACAAGATCTACAACAAATTTTTGGGTAGTTGGGAGAAGGTCTGATAAACGTATACTCTATATTGTTGTACCTAAAAAAGATACATCACTTATAGAAGTTGAAGGTAATAATATATATTTATTTATTCGTATAATATAGTTTTTAAAACAAATAATAATATATTTTTGGAAATTTTTTAGATGAGATAAGAAAACTTACAAGTTTATATTTTTCTGCAAATAATAACTGAAACTAATTCAACTATTATCATATTATTATTATTAATTATTATTTTATCTGTTATTATTCTTAACTCCAATCATTATTTTATTTATAACATAATCGTAATATATATACATTTAGTCGAAGAACTCTTTTAATAAAAAGTTTTTTTTACAACTTGATATCGTATCATATATGTAATACATATAATGTATATGGTAATAATAAAGCCCTTTTTCATATATAATTAATAGAATTTTTTATGCATTTTCTTTTCTTGACCTTGCAAGTTATCTTAAAATTGTGAAAATCACTTTCGAACATGGTTTTAGTAGTCATCAAATAACTTTCTATTTTCCTATTATAGCACAATTTTACATGGGCGACCTATAATTTTTTTTACTGGTATTGCATGAAACTGTAAATAAAATAGTAGGAAGAGCTGGGCAAAAAAAAAAAAATTACTGTGTTTGCCTATCGATAGCTGGAATTTCACCAAATATATCTTTAGTTTGTAAGTTTGTAAAATTTCAATCACCGTTATGGCTCTCGATGAAAATTTTTCTCTTTAAAAATATATTAATTTCCAAGTGCCAGCTCACCAGTAATAATAATAATAATAAAAACATGGATGACGAATTTTCTTTATAAAGGAACTCACCCATTCCTTATAACTAGATAATTTGATTAGTGGAATTATACTTGAAGTTTATACGTGTCATGAATAAAAACTTTGAAAATTATGCCATAAATTCGATTTCATCGTTACTGATTTGACAGAACTCATATAATTAAAAATTGCAAATATTAATTGACTTAATGACGACTATAATTGATTAGGTGACAGCCTCCGTCCATCGGCCAAATTATAGGATATGGTCCATAAAAACTTGTTTTTCCCCTGCTAGTTTTATAACCATTGCTGCTGTACTTTAACACAGTTGTATTTGTCATCGTTAAATATTAATATAATTACTTGAATTTTTCTTCTAATTAACGTATCTATCCAAACTTGACTTTGATTGGCTTGCGAATCTGAATGCAATGGAAATATTTCTAATAGCATCAACAGAATCGATAACATTATAAAGGTCCACCCACGGCTTAGAGACTGTTGAATCTGGACAGCTTCTCGTGATGTCGTCCGTCATATCAGAAAATCATTACATCCCAAATTAATTGTTAGTTATATGAATAACATCATTTGACAGTTGGTAAATTTTTTTTCACAAATTGATTGTACCAGAGTCAGTCAGCAGGTATTATTGTCTAAATAAGAAGTTACTACTAATTTGATATTACATTTCTTCGAACTTATTTATATTTTCTGTATTATTATCACAAAACCTACGTGCAAATAGGAAATTAAAATGTAGGAAAGAAAATTCAGTTTCAAGAATCTACTCTTAAGTAGTAGTAGTCAATACCAGAGAGAGAGTAATATTGTCGTTATATTATAATAAGCTTACACTGCAATAAATAAAATATTATCTATCCTCTGATCTAAAAACTTAGTATTAGTATTGCCTTGTTACTACAAACTTAACCGCAGTATTGTGATCTCAACAATAAAAGATTATCGATGCAAGTTTTTCTTTTTGAGTTCTAATTCAGCAAAGTACTATTGATAAACACCTACTTAATTTATTACCTTTCATATTCAGCGAAACTGCTTTTCCTCATATACATACAAAAGTAGGAGGTATTGTTGATGTCTTGATTTAACCATAAAGATTTAATACATTAAGAGGATATATAGAGGCTTGGGGACTCATACTTTGATCTTATTATTATTTACTTGGTTGATCGACAATGTACAGATTATAATTATTAAAAACTCGACTTTGAAACATTTTACAGCCACCCAGGGGGTTGTTATATATAAATAATACGTAGCTTAGGTTCTGTTTAATAAACTATCAAGGTAACTCGAAAAATGCAGAGGCAATTTCGATGTATGTTAGATGAAAAATGTTTTCAAACATTCAAAGAAATTCCAATATTGTTAAAATTACTCAACCACCAAAAATGTTTTTGCAAGAAATAAGGGTGGATATTATTTGTTGATTTCTAGACATTCAGAGGGAACTTATATGGAAGTGATTGGTCGTCTGATTAATATAACTATGTGTGATTTACCACTTGAATTCAAGATTGATATAACTAGGTAATCCACATAATGTTATATGATGAAGTAACAGTGATGCAACACTAGAAAGTACAATTATCAACAATATAACTCTTATGCAAGAATTCCGGAAACTTCTTTCTAATTGAGGCCTCAGACAAACTAAGGGTAAAAATGGCATAAAATTTTTTAAGGACACTTATTATGTTTGAGTAGATAAAAAACAAATAAATGGAAAATTTCAAACTACACTTAATTTTCTAATATCATATCATATCATACATTGAAGGAGCAAAAAGAATAGACTCACTCAACTTTATCTAACAATAACGCGATTTGATTTTTTTAACAATGATAACAATAATGCAATGTCGAATATTTAGGTAGATCATTTAGTTAGTCTACCAAGTAAATATGGAGGGGATATAATTTAATAATTTAAACATTGTTTATTATTAATTTTTGCTGGATAAAAATTTAAAAATTGGGAAAATATTGAAAACCAATAAAAAATATTTCAGGAATTAATCCGTTATTTACAATGAAACATCAATTTAGAAGTTTCTGTGTTACTGATTAATATATTTACAATTTAATTACGGAGGCATTTCGGATTTTGCGACAGCACCTATTACTATTACTATTTCCCAAAAACAATTTGTAATATATAATTGGTCACTTGAAAATGCACAAGAAATCAATCTAGCAATTTTATCTATTGAAACTATTATTAAATACATAGTCATGATGTTTACATAATTGAAAAGAGAAATTGGGGGTGGTTAAAACGATTATTAAAGCACCAAGGAATTAAACCCACAATTAAGTATATTAGTCACAGGACATGTCCACCGTTCGAAATTCAATCGGCGGAATCGGCGCGCACTAACCAAATATGGAAATCAACCGCAGATAATTTCTAAAATTAGATTAGTTTATGTAAAGGCGCAGTCGAATTTCGAACACTGGACATGTCACATCAATTGATTTTCTATATGTGAAAATAAATTCGAAATTCGTGTCACATGAAGGTTTTTTAAAATATCTCGTTATTTTTATAATAAACTCGAACTTTGTTGTTAGAGTAAAATGAAAGTACTCCATTAAAG